AGTGTTCAACTAACCAATGCAAGTATGCAAGCAGTTACACCGGTGCCACAAGAAGTACCAACAGGCTTGTCCAAAGAGATACCTGCCAAAAGAACCAAGTATTTGAAGCATATTTACCTAAAGGGCACGGCATGTCCAAATTATATACAATCCATGATTAAAGAAAAATCACATTACCAAATGAAGAAGNAGAGAGAGAGTGTTCAACTAACCAATGCAAGTATGCAAGCAGTTACACCGGTGCCACAAGAAGTACCAACAGGCTTGTCCAAAGAGATACCTGCCAAAAGAACCAAGTATTTGAAGCATATTTACCTAAAGGGCACGGCATGTCCAAATTATATACAATCCATGATTAAAGAAAAATCACATTACCAAATGAAGAAGTGCCAACTCTTCATTTCAAAGGGGAACCTTTTCAATGTGCCATAATTGCATTAAATGCAATAACATTTTACTCCTCCAATGCCAGATAATGCATCAACGCAAGTGGAAGAAGAAAACAACACGAGCAAACTCAAGAACACCTAAATATGTAAACCAAGCTCTTTTGCTTTTTTTTTTTTTTTTTTGCCATGACTGTTAGAGGCAAAAAGCATAGAAAAACACCAAAATATATCGGGGGCTTAAAGCACAAAATACAATTAAAGCATGGTTTTAGTGGGAAAAAATTGCTAAGAAACAAAGAAAAATGTATTTAATGCAAGAAACAATAACTAATATACACGCAGTTGTTATATGGAGAATAGATTATTTAAAAAAAAAACTATAATTAAGAGAAATATATGAAGAAAAAATCAAGTCAATTAAGTTAACATACTATTTCATATTTTCTGATTTACATGTAAATGTTAAGTTCTTTTCGTAAATATTACGTTTTATATACTAAATTTGCAAATCTTTTTTCTAATAACCAAGGAAAATGTTGTTAACAATAAATGTTCCATTTTTGCCGACTATATTTATTGTAGTGTTGCCCTCTTAAAGGAGGTGCCGGACTGCCTATAGGCAATGAGCGGCAAGCCTTTGCAATGAGGAGCTTACACTGAAGCACCCAACCTGAGCTTCATGGTAGCCTCAGGTCTTGAACCCGCCTCAAACAAGCACGCCCTCTTTCACATATGGCTCACAGTTTTTATGAGATCTAATATTCAATAAGACTAAAAATAGCAGGAAAGCAAAACTACATAAATGAAACATGCCCAAACTCTAAGCTAAGAACACGAGACCAATTGCTACCTTCTTGATCAAATTTTTTCTTGAGCTCTTCATGGGATAAGAGTGTTTGCGAGCCATCCAGCATCTGAGAAGAATCACCACAAACAGATAGATTTTATCATATAGCTACAGAACTTGATCTAGTCTAGGATTAATTAGGATTAAGCTTTTGGAAACAAGGAATTACAAGCAAAAACAGTGTGAAGCTCACATTTCATTGGTTCAAACTCTCATAGTGCTGGAGACTATCCAAGGTTGATTCAGAGCTTCAACTAGATAGGTCTTTACATAAATCATCGAAGAAAAGAAGCAAGAAAATTGAAGAGGTGGCTATACACAATGCTTTTCCAGGGATTAGGTGCAATGTTAGGTGCACCTTAGTGGGGCAAAGAGAAGGTAGGCCTCATCTTTCAAGAATCTTTGCAGACAGACAAGGGCATCAATGTAGAATCCAAGAGCCCAATATGCCCACAATGATTCATGGCTGACACGAGAGGCATACTATTGAAATTTCTTCTTTTAACACTCCGTTCAAAAGGTTTTAAGCAAAATGTATCAAACTTAGAAGCTCATGGTTTTCCTTATTGTCAATGTGAGAAACCTACAATGTCATGCACCCGATAATCCAAATGATACCAATGCTTGAAAGTCAATACTCCGTCAAAATAATAACAAAGTAAGAAACAACTAAGTTAACTTATAGCCTGTTTGGCCAATCTGGAAAATCAGCTTATTTTGAGAAGTGCTTTTTTTCAAAAGTACTTTTGGTGAAAAGCAGTTTCTGTTTGGCTAATTAATTTGAAAAGTACTTCTAAGCATCAATTTGTATTTGGCCAAGCTTTTAAAAAGTACTTTTAAATGTATTTTTCTCAAAGAAGTACTTCTGGGAAGAAGCTACTTTTTCCTGCTTCTCCAAAACTGCTTCTGCTTCTCCTCAAAAGTACTTTTTTTTTTCTAAATCTTGGCCAAACATTTCAACTTTGAAAAAAAAAAACACTTTTTGAAAAATAAGTGCTTTTCAACTTGGAGAAGCTTGGCCAAACAGGCTATTAATTACAGATACGAAAGTTTTCCTACAAATGGGATGGCTTCAACATTGGGAGGATAACTTGCCAAGATACGTAAACAGTAAATTTGCTTGTAGTCACAAAAGTTTTCCTACCAATGGGCCGACTTCAACATCCAAAGGATGGCTTGCCAAGCTACGCAACTCGGAAAACTTTTGCACTACAACCATCGTTAGCTGTTATAACTCAGAAAACGTTTGTAATACAACCAGCTAACTTTCTTAGAGTATTCTTATTCCATTTTCATATAAGCATCGGCCTTTCCATCCATTTCGGAAAAAAGAATAAAAGAAAAATTTAGAAGGAACTCATATATAATATATTAAAAAGATTTACAATGATTACTAGATGATCTTCCAAGTACTACATAGCCTCCTTTATATAGGAGCTAGGAGGTTATTACAAGACAAACTTATCTACAAGTGGGTCCCCTTATACATGTGAAAGACCTTAGGTAAAACAACTATTATACATGACAACAACAATGACAAACCTAGTGTAATCCCACAAGTAGGGTCTGGGGAGGGTAATATGTATGTAGACCTTACCCTTACCTTGTAAAGGTAGAGAGGCTGTTTCCACTAGAACCTTCGGCTCAAGGGACATTGGAAAGGAAGCAACAAAGAATAAAAACAACAAGGAAATAAGATAACAGAATCGAACAATATAGCAGATAGAAATAGAGATCTATGAATAAGAAACTCTTGACTACCTGTCAACCTTCAACCCTAATTCTCGACATCCACACCTTCCTATCGAGGATCATGTCCTCAAAAAGTTGAAGCAATGTCATGTCCTGCCTAATCACCTATCTCCCGTACTTCTTGGGCGTACCTCTACCCTTCTTCAGATCCGACGTGGTCCACCTCTCACAACTCCTAACCGGGGCACCTATGCTACACCTCTTCACATGTCCAAACCACTTCAGCCTCGATTCCCGCATCTTGTTGTTCTTAGGGGCCACTCCCACCTTATCCCGAATAACTTCCTTCCTAATATTATCTTTCCTGTTATGCTCGCACATCCATCTCAACATCCTCATTTCTGCCACTTCCATCTGCTAAACATGGGATTTCTTGTCTAGCCAATACTCAGCCCCATACAACATAGTCGGTCAAACCAACACTATGTAAAAGTTACCCTTTTAAGTCTTAATGGCGCGCTCTTATCCCACAAAAATCAGATGTGAGCCTCCACTTCATCCACCCCGCTCCAATACGATGAGTGAGATCCTCGTCAATCTCCCCGTTACCTTGGATAAAAACCCAAGATACTTGGAACTATTTCTCTTGGGGTTAGACTTGACTATCAAGCTTCGCGTTTACTTCTACTTCAATTAGTATTGCGTCATCTGCAAATAACATACACCATGACACTTCCCTTTGAATGTGTCGCGTCAGCACATCTATCGTCAGGGCAAATACAACTTGTGAAAGGATGTGAATGAGGGGTAATATACATCACAAAGCATGTGAAAGTTGGATGATATATATGACAAAGTGTGTGGAAGTGGGGCCCGGGGAGAATGAAAATATGAGAATTATTCTTGGTATGGGAAGATGATTTCTAGGGTTTTTGGCAGATAATGTGGGATTAAGGTAAGAATAGCATGGGTTAAGATTCAAGTTCTCATTATCGGATGGCGTCGATTCTGCTTCATATCTGGCCTGGTCTTCGTTTCAGTTATCTTTTGTTGTACCACTTGGTGTTTGACGATCTTGTCCTGTTGTGTTCCTTCTCCTTTCTTGGTGGAATGTGAGGTGTAATATGTAGTCTCGACCTGGCGACGTCATGGGTGATTTTATATCAGATGACTTCGTAAAGTATCTGGTACTCCTATGATGCTTCTCGAACCCGTTCCCAATGGGGATGAGTGTGGTATAATTCCAACTTGCCCATATTTCTCCTGGATACACTTATTTTGCTGGAAGATAATTCTTTGTGCTTTGTTGTATTCTTCTTTCATGGATAAAATGGAGACGAAATATTTCCACCAGAATGATATTTCTACTAGTGTCTGGACCTTTCTGTTAATAATCCAACTTGCCCATATTTCTCCTGGATATACTCATTTTGCTGGAAGATAATTCTCTGTGCTTTGTTGTATTCTTCTTTCATGGATAAAATGGAGACGAAATATTTCCTCCAGAATGATATTTCTACTAGTGCCTGGACCTTTCTATTAATAATCTTCACCGGTCTATGGAACATGAATATCTTCGTTTTGCAGGAATCTTTGAAACATTTCATCCAATACCTTCGAGGCTTGAACCACAATAGAAACACTTTAAGAGCAGATTCAATGTTGTCAAAGTCCTTACGCATTGCACTTGAATTCCATGAAAATATAATATTGGTGACATAAGTACAAGAAAAACCATAAAGGTTCTTGAGGAAAATCTCTAGCTTGTGCTATGAATATGTGACAAAATGGATATTCTGGATTGATCCCATATGGTTTAAGAATAGATCTTCTGTGTTGCCGAAAAGCCTGGAACTCGGAATAAGTTCCTTCCATTGTGAACTCTGGAGGGTGATCTATCGATTTTAATAAACTAGTTACTGGTACATTTGTAAAAATAAAGATCTAGCTGGTTGCCATATGTTTCGACTTCCTCTTCTCTAGCGAAAATCCTTTTGAGAATTCTTTTGGTCGAGATAGAAAATCTCAAAAAGATTTTCACCAAAGAAGATGAGGTCAAAATAAAAGCCCACCAGCCAGATTTTTGTGTTTACAAATGTCTCAGAAACCAGTTTATTAAAACTAATAGATCATCCACCAGAGTTATTCAACCTCATAAATCCATTTGATCCATCCATCATAAGGGAAAGAACTTACTACGAGCTCCATGCTTTTCTGCAACACAGATGATCCATTCTTAAACCATCTAGGGTCGATCACAATATCCATTTTGTCATGTATTTATACCACAAGCCAGAGATTTTCCCCAAGAACTTTCATGGTTTTTCTGTTATTTATGTCACCAGTATTATATTTTCATATTTTCATGGAATTCAAGTGCAATGCGTTCAAGGACTTTGACAACATTTTTTGATAAGGAAAAAAAAAATTGTCAAAGTCCTTGAACGCATTGCACTTAAATTCCATGAAAATATGAACCTGCTCTTAAAGTGTTCATATTATGGTTCAAGACTCGTAGGTATTGGATGAAATATTTCAAAGATTCCTGCAAAGCGAAGATATTTATGTTCCATAGACTGCTGAAGATTATTAACAGAATGGTCCCGGCACAAGCAAAAATATCATTCTGGTGGAAATTTTCCGTCTCCATTTTATCCATGGAAGAAGAACACATCAAAGCACAAAGAATTATCTTCCAACAAAATAAGTATATCCCAAGAGAAATATGGCCAAATGAATGGGCAAATTGAAATTATACCAACACTCGTCCCCATTGGGAACGGGTCCGAGAAGCAGCAGAGGAACACCAGACACTTTATGAAGGCATCCGATATAAGATCACTCATGATGTCGCCAGGTTGAGACTACATAATTGATGTTACATCTCAAATTCCACCTACAAAGGAGAAGGAACACAAGAACAAGATCATCAAGCACCAAGCGGTACTACACAAGATAATTGAAAAGAAGCCTAGAAGACAAGGCCAAATACAGAGCAGAATCGACGCCAACCGATAATGAGGATTTGAACCTTAAGCCATGCTATTCTCACCTTAATCCCACATTACCGGCCAAAAAATCCTAGAAATCATCAATCCATATCAATAAAAAAATTCTCATATTTCCATACTCTCTGGGCCCCACTTTCACATGCTTCCACATGTTTCCACATGCTTTGTCATATATATTACCTTCCTTTCACATGCTTCCACATGTATATTACCCCTTTTTCACATACTTTCACAAGCTTTGTCATGTATAATAGTTATTTTAGCTAAAGTCCTTCACTATGTCGAAGGGGACCCACTTGTAGATAAGCTTGTCTTGTAATAACTTTTGTCTTGTAATAACCTCGTATCCCCTATATAAAGGAGGCTATGTAGTACTAAGAAGATCATCTAGTAACCTTTGTAAATCTTTGTGATATATTATATATGTGTTCCTTCTAAATTTCTCTCTTGTTCTTTCTTTCGAAATGGATGAAAAGGCTTATCCTTATATGAAAATGGACTAAGAATATTCTACGAAAGTTAGCTAGTTGTAGTACGAACATTTTCTGAGTTATAACAGCTAAAGCTGGTTGTAAAACAAAAGGTTTCCGAGTTGCGTAGCTTGACAAGCCATCCTCGAGATGTTGAAGCCAGCCCATTGGTAGAAAATTTTTGCGACTATAAGCAAGTTTACTGTTTGTGTGGCTTGGTAAGCAATCCTATGGATGTTGAAGCCAGCCCATTTGTACGAAAATTTTCATGTCTATAATTAAGTTAACTTACTTAATTAGTTGTTTCTTACTTTGATATTATTTTGGTATCAAAGCATCAAATACATTTTGGAAATAGCATACAAATAATTTAACCTATTCAAGTGAAAATACTTCGGCATATCTCAATTTCAAGCAGGAAATGGTTCATACAAGAGATGAAATAGAATAACTGCCTCAGAATATTGAAAAGATCATTTTTCTTCAACAAACCGATCCTCACCTGTGGAAACGGAATACACTTGCTCCCAGGTACATGTCCACTTCTTATTCCTCTTCGAGGCTCTGGTGCAACACCATCAAACCTAAAAAGGTGCAAAACAGAACTCTTGATAAATAAACAAATATTGATTAACTCTAGAAAAAATTAAGCTTGCGTAAAATGAATTCTAGAAAATTTGCACATTAAAACAGTTGCAGTTGCTTCAGTCAAGTGTAGTAGATTTTGAGTTTATGGCCTCTATTATCTCCTTTTAATAAAAGCTTCTTTCCTAATCTAATGTCAGGTAACATTTACATTTAATTATCCAAAAAACATAAACTATTGCTCCACACCAACATATTTTATGTTTGTATGTATTTGGGTACCACGTTGATGTAGCTTTGTTTTAAACTTAAAACAGAAGAGAGCAGCATCTGTATTATAGCTAAATGAAAAGAGAAGATATACACAATTACTTATTCTTGGACAAGCAATATTGCGCCTAGCTTCCATGATATGACTATGCAGAAACAATAATTCTTGAGAATAAAAATGACTAAGAAAGCAACTTCACCAAAACAACTTGAAATGTGGATATGACCTACTCTGTAAAAACTATTCTTAAGATGATTTTTCCGAGACCATCATGATACAGTACCTAAAAGACAGCAGCCATCAACATTTTTTTATTTTTAAGCAAAGTGATGGCGCCAATAAAGGAAGAAATCCTACTGTAAAAGATAATGTGAGAATGCTCCCTCTTTTTTTATGACCGAGAAATACGTTTGGACCGGACCCTTTGGCCAACTGCAACCTTCGGAACTCGGGGACAATGGGCCCGCCCCTCTACCCTTCTCCACTTAAAAACTAAAGTTAGTTTGCTCGGCACAGGACTCCAACCTGTGACCTAGACACAACTTCCTCAACCTTTGCCAAGTGAGTAACCCGCGGGGGCAATGTGAGAATGCTCCTTTCACATCAGTTAAAGAAATAAGTTGCTATAATAATCTAAAACCGTAAAGAAAACATATATAAGCACCCCTTACCTATTTAAGACATTACATAATGAGTGGTCCATTCATGAACCCGTAGATATGTAAGATGTCTTATAACACTAATAACTCCTTACTCCATAACTATGGCGAATTTGAGCAGATCAAAGAAGGATATATTTGCAACATCTTCAGGATTCCATTTCCCTAGGGTAACCACTGATAATGTTTATCTGATTTTTCCTACTAGCTAAGGCACATTAATTGGAGCCATTGCTAAATGTTTAATTTGGCTATGCCAACAGTCACATCAGGAGTAGCAGGTTCTGCCCTCATGTCCTAAACATAATGTATTGCAAGAAAGAAAAATTTTCATATATTCGATCAAGGCCATCTAGATGACAAGACATGCCAAAATATATTACTCCGGCCTTTCTAATCATACAACAAAGCAAAAGACTCTTTGACTAGCATATTGAAGTAATTATTCAAAAGGAGAGCATCCAGCAACGTCCTATAGATGACAAGACATGCCAAAAGATATTACTCCCACGTCTCTAATCATACGACATATTTGGCAAGGCACAAAAACTATTTGACTAGCATATTAAACTAATTGTTGAAAAGGAGAGCATCACCTCATTAGTTAAGTTTGTGCTTTTAATGAAGTTGAAATCTTTGAGGTATGGGATGGTCCAATAAAAAATCACTACTTTTTGTAGCACATGTGAAACATTTTGAAACTTAATGTGTCACATAAATTAGGAGGGAGAAGTAAAATCTAATGGTCATAAAGGCAATAATTGCTTCAAGAACTAATGGACAAAAATAAAATATATAAATAACTTTCTCATCTTGGTACATGTATTGTTGAGCAAATACCTTAGCATATTAGTCTATCACGTATAAAAAAATGAGTTCGCAGACATAATGAAGTACCTAGCTTTGGACCGAGCATCTATATGCTGATATGTTTTGTCTTCAATGTTCCTTTTAACCTGAGAATATAAACAAATTATATCTCCAAATCTATAACTAAGCTAGAATTAATGACAAAATATCAGAAAATATAGTTAAATATGGATAGCATATTGAAAGATCAATCTTGTTGACAGATGTAAAAATAAGGACAAAGATTGTGTTCGCATTTTTTCCAATATTGGACTATCATACAGTCATCCAACTGTTGACATTCACAAAGAGCGGCAATAACCAGCTTCTCCAAACAATGAAACAGACCTAAGTATTCAGCAGAAAACAACCAATAAAGGTCATAGTCCTAGATTTTCTTCAGAAACTCAGTGGAGCTCTCCCAGTCACTCAAGGAAACTGGAGCAGGTTTTTGCAGAATAAAGTTGCACTAAGGGTCACAAATATGAATCAACAAGCTGCTTAATACCCACTAATCACAATCTATTACTAGTTCGGTTCATGTTGTACCTTTTATCTAGACCTACCATCCATCAGCTCTAAATTGTAGCTGGAACGAGAAATAATGTAATTATAAGCAGTTTGAATCTGAATACAGCCTAGATCTTGATAATCCAGAAAAGTTCCTTGCCATTACCACCAGCTTCAGTGACACATGGATAGATGCTGCTCCCAGCAAGTGCTATAGGCAGAAAGCACAACAAGGAAACCAACCTGATCGAGATTCCAGACAAGATGCGGCTGAAACTTGATCTCGAAGGTATTAGGTCCAACCTGCACAAAAAAACATTCTAACCGAAATATTAAAACAATATACATTAAACGCACAATTTCAGAAGCTACAAAGAGAGGGAGAGTGAAAATGTACCGACAGTTTTATAAGGCAAGAAAAACTGATGTTTCAACACTATTTACATATATTCCAACGGGAAAAAAGGTACTTGCAAAGATTCGTCATATTCATGCCCCAAGAAGACAAAGCTTGAAAGAAAATAGAAACTTGTCAAATATCATATCATTTGCTTCGAAAAGCTTCATGCTATGGAAAACAACATTAGTTAGTTGAAACTTTTGGCACTGCAGTAAATAGAGGAAATTACCAAAAGCTCCAATTTATAATCCTTGATGTTAAACTTACATGTCGAGATAGAATGCAAGAGTTTTAAAATTCAATTAATCCGTAAAAGTTGGATATCATTATGTTACAGAAACACTATATATGCTCTCAATCTATTGGTCAGAGCAAATGTAGGAATACAAGGTTCTCTGATACCACCTTGTCACAGCCTAAGTCTTAAACTAAGCGTGCTTGCAGCACTTGTGACAGTTTGCCTTCGTTTGGAAGGTTAGGTAAATTTTATAAATGATTCAGCACAAAGACGGCTGTTTTCACTGTACCACTTGGACAGTTTGCTTTCGCGATTGAATATGTGGCAAAGTACGTAACGCAGTCCTATATCTGACCAACACTGCTACCCCGTGGCACAGAAAGAAAGCTGACATGGAGAAGGGTCTTTGTCACAGTGGCACTTGGGGACCAGTTCAAGACTCAGCTCAAAAACCAATCCTATCCTGTCAATGTCATATATGAGGCTTGGCGGAAGTTGAAGGAGTCGAAGCAAACTGACAGCATCGAGAGACTATGTAAAGGAATTCACAACCCTCATGCTTCAAATCCCTAACCTAACTGGAGATCTCCTATTCCATTCCATGGATCACCTTAAAGAGGGTACACGAATATGAGATTGACCATCCTCAGTGGATCCTAGTACCTTCCGATCAAGTTATGAGGCATGACCATGACTCTTAATGCTTTGGTTGTCGGTTAAGTTTGACCATGATGTCATCTCCAACCTTGTTTCATGACTTGCATGTATTTTTTCCCGTGATGCTGATCAGGTGATACACTATTTGGCAGTGATTTTAGGTTACGAAGTGGAAACATTCCCTATTGTCTACTTTCCCCAGTATTTGGGAGCAAAATTTAAAGACCTAGGTGCTTGGTGAAGTGTCATTAATAGATGTGAGAAGAAGCCGACTCCTGTAAGAAGCAATACTTATCTTTAGGGGAAAGACTTACACTGGCCGATAGCGTTTTGGATGACATCCTTACCTACTTGATGTCCTTACTGCCTATACTTTCCAGTGTCGAAAAGAAATTGAATAAAATAAGAAGTAATTTTTCTATAGGAAGGCAATTCTAAGAAGACGAGAAAGATCTAGTCATATGGTCACCATGGAAAAACGATGTGGAGCAGGAGTCAAGAACTTGAAATATGTATCGACAAGATTCCAAAATATGAAGAGGAAGTCTCAAGACAATTTACAGAAGAGAGAGTATCCATTATGCAGTAGATGCTTTCCGTGTGAAGATCCCTTAGAATCAGTGCATCATCTCTTTCTACATTGCAGACAAGTCTGGCAGATCTGGAAAATCAGTGACATTGGAGGTTCTTTTTTTTTTATTCCCCTCCCCTTTGATTCCCCTTTGATCCCCCTTTGTTGGAGCTATTGCTCCTTTGGTGACTCGAACCCACGACCCTGGGGTTGTAGGTGGGGGGTGTTGACCATCGGAGCAACCCCCTCTTGTCGACAGGTTAAAGTCCCCACAAAAGTAGCATGCTTTGGGTGGATATAAGTCATGCTGCTCGCTTGACTCGAAACAATTTACAGAAGAGAGTGAAAAAACAATTACAGAAGAGAGAATATCCATTGTGCAATAGATGCTTTTAGTGTGAATTCCTTAGAATAAGTCAATCATCTCTTTTTTCATTGCAGATAATTCTGGCAGATATGGAAAAAGATTCTAACTATAGTTGGGTTTATATGGGACATGCCAAGAGATTTCAAGCAATCACTCAACAGTTGATTGCTCCTTTGGTGACTCGAACCCACGACCCTGGGGTTGTACGTGGGGGGTGCTGACCATCGGAGCAACCCCCTCTTGTCGACAGGTTAAAGACCCCACAAAAGTAGATGCTTTGGGTGGATATAAGTCATGCTGCTCGCTTGACTCGAAACAATTTACAGAAGAGAGTGAAAAAACAATTACAGAAGAGAGAATATCCATTGTGCAATAGATGCTTTTAGTGTGAATTCCTTAGAATAAGTCAATCATCTCTTTTTTCATTGCAGATAATTCTGGCAGATATGGAAAAAGATTCTAACTATAGTTGGGTTTATATGGGACATGCCAAGAGATTTCAAGCAATCACTCAACAGTTGACAAGAACAAAAGACTGGAAAGAATAAGAAACATATTTGGTGCTACATACCTTTGTGTATAATCTGGACTATATGGTTAGAAGGGAATCATAGGTGCTAAAGAGAAAACGAATGTATAACATTTGTAAAGTATCGTCATCTTCACTATTTGTATTTTTCAAACAAAGTGAATAGAATTAAGGAGATAGGAAACATGATGGATTTAATTGACTTCTTAAGCATAGAGTAGGAGTTTTTAAGTCCACCTCTTGTACACAAAGCAAAGGAGAAAAGAATCTAAAAAGACAGTCTGACTTGACTTTTAAGCAAAAGTTGACATCCCTTACATAACGAAGGTTAAACATGAAACCCAGAAGTAGACACCCTCATGTCCATTGAGCCCTCCGGATATTCAGGAAGCACCAAGAAAGACAATTCTTAAACAAAATTTGGTATGATGCAGCAAAAGTCCAAGAATACAGCCTATCTCAGAGAATATTGTCCTATTACAGTATTGCATCAAAAGGTGCTATGCTTTAGAATGGTTAAAGAAAAATTAACTTTTTTGCGGAAATCTTTTTTTTTAACTGATATTCAATAAGCTCATGGGAAACAATATTTATCTTACCATCTGTCCTCGATATACTTTCTCTATTGCCTCACTGGCAGCGCTAGCTTTCAGAATCGCGTCGCCAGATGCACTTGATTCGACATCATATTCTGAAGCACGCCATCTTGGCAAGCCACCATCCAAAACCCAAACTTTGTCATGTCCAAAAGCTCGAAACGTCCTGATTACCGATTTTGCTATTGATTAGTCACTTTTGGATGACATGGGCTTATCTGTCTTTTATCATCAAATGAATAACTCACCACCAAACACGAGCCGCACTGAAAATGCCCTTGCCATCGTATACGACGACACCATCTTTGTTTTTGATACCAAGAGCAGATACAGCAGCTGCAAATGCTTCTTCGGATGGCAACATATGCGGCAACTGATAAATCAACCAATTAATGAAGTTTTTTATACCATAAAAGGTGATGACATCCATCTCAAAAGCATGTTGGATGACTAGCTAAAGCATCTACTACAAGTGTAGAAACAGATGGGACTAAAATGAAACAAAGATGGTACAATACTGAAGCCAGAGAAGGTTAGTAACTTGCCTTTACATAGAGCAAAATCATTCTTTGAAGAGGAGAAAAAAATTTAGCAGGGAAGATGTCTCACATTTGTAGTTCGATCAGATATTCCATCCACATCAAAGAACAGTGCTCCAGGAATGTGCGCGACCTGTTCAAAGCAAAGTTAGAAAGAAAAAACAGAAACAAGGGGACTGTTGAACAAATTACCATAAAAGAAACTAATGAGAAAATGAAAATTGCTTGTCTACGAAGATATTTACTACAAAGCAATCAAAGAATCAAGATAAAGCAGTGTCACCAAAGAAAAATTTCTTAGGAGCCACCACCTGATACTCCTGAAGTGGATTTCTCTGCTCGTCTGGCAAGTACCAAGATGCATCTAACACCTTTAGGAAAAAGGAAAAAGAAACAACATTTCAGTTCTGTATGACAGATGCCTTACATAATACAACCTGCACCACACTCCTCACCCAACTAATTGAAAAGGGAAGAAAACACATGCAAAAGCATTGCTAAATAGATTTGAAAAGAAAAAGGAAATCATTGTACATTTGAAAGGCATGGGCTGAGTGCAAAAATATCATAACTTTAGGTTTACTCTTTAGAACAGAAAATGTAGTTAGACCGTTGTAATAACAGCCATACTTGAAGGAAGGGGGTTCAATTGAATCTCCTTCGTCGAAACATTTTTTTATCAAGCCCCTTCGTCGAAACACTATACTGTGCAAATAGGTAAAACTAGTTTTGTTAGCTATTGATAAGTTGTTGAATCCCCTTGACACAGGGGAAAGTTCTATAAGTGGCAAAAAGAGTTCACAAATTGCTTTAGGTCATAAGTTCAGATCCCAAATGTGACATTTTTGAATCCCCTTGTATAAATTCATGGCTCCACCACAGACTATCACCATTTTTATTGTTTACCAAGCGTTTGACTGGTTAGCGCTGCAGTAAGATTAAAAACATCAATCACACACCTTTAAGTCAGGATCTCTGAGGTTTGCATGGAGCCAGTCAACTGAAACAACCGATTCATTGGTTGACATTGCTAGTGTTGAGAATGATGGTTGTGCCCCAACAGTTGAGGAAGCCATACGAGTAAAAGAATCAATAACCTTGTTAGAGTAGTAGATTGGAGCTGCTTGCAAATGAAATGGTTTCCTCTGCAAGGATTAAGCAAATGATAAACACTGTTGTCAACTTTTTATGGCAAATAAATACAAGAATATATAAGAGCCAGAAAGTTGTTGTGCTGCTAACAAATTTCCACATGACATGAAAGAAATCACACTTTTCCCAAGAACTAAAATTATCCAATAACTCTTGTAGCCTGTTTGGCCAAGCTTCTAGGAAGTCGAAAATGGTTATTTTTGAAGAAGAAAAAATGCTTATTTTAGAGAGTTGAGGTATTTGGCCAAGTTTTTAATAAAAAATAAATACTTTTGTGTAGTGGCAGAGCCAGAAGCTGCTTTTCAAAAATTGGAAAAGTTGCTTTTCCCTAAAAGCACTATTAGAACCTTGGCCAAACACAAATGGATGCTCTAATATTAGCAAAAATACTTTTCAAATTGATTAGCCAAACACAAACTGCTATTCTCCAAAAGTACTATGTCAGAAAAAAACTTCTAACAAAAAAATACTTTTCAAAATAAGCAAATTTTGGAAGCTTGATTAAACAAGCTATTACTCTTAATCATTCCAGTAATAAAGATGAAGATTTGCAACTAGGCAGATTCAAGATTTGAATTTTATGACTTCGGGATTCCACTAAAACCCTGACCATTTAAGTTATTGGGTTCAAATTTATTATTTATATATATTTAGTAGATTTCTTAACGTCTATACAAGAGTGAGCCAAAGCTACTAGATTCTGCTGAACCAATAACAAAAAAAATTAACTGACATCTTATTTGCAAGAAGGGATTATTAAATAGATAATCTCACAAAAACCCGGTTTAGTAAATAGCTACTACGATGATAACAATGACCAACTGAAGAAAATGCATCATCATCAAAATGAACCAGATTTGCATATACAACTAGAAGCAAAAAACATAAAGGAAACCAAATAGCAAGTAGTGAATGAATATAGGAGAACTCACGGTGAAGGCAGAGAGCGAAAATCGGGGGTTTGGGCAGAGGAAGGAAGTGGAGGAGGATTTGAGAAAGCGGTTGGCAAAGAGACTCTTGGATAAAACGGCTGAAGCCATAGGAATGAATATCACAACATATTACCAAGTGAAAGGGGCTCCGTTTTTTGGGAATTTTTCTCAACTTTTGTTTGATAAGTAATTTGTTTGAGTAAAGGTAGATGGGATCGTATTGCAGGATCTAACAGCTGCAGCTCTTAGAAGTGATGATAGATGATGCCAAGGACTTTAAATTAATTTATTTATTCTAGTATTATAACAATAAACATATGTAAAGATTAAAAAAATAATTGATAAAATGATTTACTCATTATTACATTCAATTTATATTAACAATAAATTTTCAACTACTAAGAATAAAGTTCAACAACAACAACCACCCAGTAATAATCTCACTAGTGTGGTATGGGAGGTTAGAGTGTACGCAGACCTTACCCCTATACATAAGGGTAAAGAGGCTATTTTCGGGAGACCCTCGGCTCAAAAACAAAAGATCTGTAACAACAACAGAAACCATACAAATAAGATCACCACCGTAAGTGACAACAAATAAGTGGGAAGGACAATAATTATGGCAATAATAAAAATTATAAATATAATATAAATAAAGGTAAAAATAATAAATAAAATATAGAAAGGGCAATGGAACAATAATCGCTATCAGTCCTATATAAAACACTATCAGACTAGCCAGAACAACGAAGAAAAACGCTCAACTAAACCCTAACATACAACCCTAATGCTCGACCTCCACACCTCCCTATCCAGGGCCATGTCCTCGGAAATCTGAAGTTGCGCCATGTCTTGCCTTATCACCTCGCCCCAATATTTCTTAGGCCGCCCTCTACCTCTCCTTGTACCAGTCAAAGTCAATCGTTCACACCTCCTAACCGGGATATCTAGACTCCTCCTCCGCACGTGCTCGAACCATCTAAACCTCGCTTCCCGCATCTTGCCGTCCATGGGAACCACGCCCACCTTCTCCCGAATCTTTTCATTTCTAATCTTATTCAGCCTAGTGTGCCCCCACATCCATCTCAACATCCTCATTTCGGCTACTTTTATCTTCTGGACATGAGAATTCTTGACTGGCCAACACTCGGTCCCATACAGCATGGTTGGTCTAATCACCATTCTATAGAATTTACCTTTAAGTTTCGGTGGCACCTTCTTGTCACACAGGACTCTAGACGCTAACCTCCCTTTCATCCATCTCACCCCGAAGAATAAAATTCATTTTTCTTGATTAATGTACGACCAAATAAACTTGACAAGTTTAAAATTATTAGGTGATTAGTGATGATTGCGATATGAAGCCAAATAGGCAAGTGGAGCTGTGAGTTGACTCGTAGAGTCATATTTTTGTTCATGACTTGAGCTTTGGATTGATTTTTGAGCTGGTCGAACCAATTTTTAAGCACTTTTTAAGGTTTTTTCAGTGTTGGACAATATTGCAAAAGAGTTTTAAAAAGTTCAAAAAATGCTTAAAACAAGTTAAACGTTAAAAGTTGGGTAACTCCAACTTATTGTTTATAGCTTTTAACTTATCTATATTTGACCGAGTATATTATTTTTCTATCCCTTATGATTTTTTAATATTCCAAAAGTAACTTTCTAAACCAAGCCCTAATTCATATATTTCTTTTCACTCTTTCTTTCTTAAACCTTTACATTACCTCTACCTCTATTTCTGCGTTCAGCTATCTTATGTTCGGCTATCGTTGAGCTTCGTTTTTCTTCTTAAGAATCCACTTATTATATTTTTTTAGAATTTATCTTGTTCAATCTATTTTGTGCCTGTGAAATTTGTTTCTTCTTTTATAAGAATCCACTTATTATATTTTTTTAGAATTTATCTTGTTCAATCTATTTTGTGCCTGTGAAATTTGTTTCTTCTTTTATAAGAATCCACTTATTATATTTTTTTAGAATTTATCTTGTTCAATCTATTTTGTGCCTGTGAAATTTGTTTCTTCTTTTATTTCTAATATTCCAACCTGGAGACAGAAATCTCAAAAAATTGAGCAAAAAAACTTCATATGTGGTGTATCACATTTTATAAGTAACAAAACAAATATGAATACCTGTGAGCTTATTGTGTTGTTATATATTGAGCAAGAGGAGCCAGGTGTGGTGCGTAATGTTAGATTACCATACATATAAATACCATTGGAATAGTATTACTATCTTTTATCCACTACTTACTGCCATTTACCGAATTTGACCAAGCAATGATACTTCCTAGAAAATCACATTATTTTACATTTAAAATTTAAAGGTGAGCACAGTACGATGAAAGTTGTAAGCTGTGTTCGGGGGGAGTTATTATCTAAGGTTGGCCTCTATGGTAGAATCAGTCAGGGGACCTGAGAGGCGGTGGTTTACCCTGTGGCGGATGTCAGCAGTTCGAGTCCGCTTATGTCGAATCAGGATCAACTAGGACAGGAATAAAGCATTGGGTCGAACTTTTCTTTGGTGTTAGCATGGCGTACTCCTCCTATTCGAACCGGGATTTGAAACCAAATTCCTCCTCAGGAGGATAGATGGGGCGATTCGGGTGAGATCCAATGTAGATCCAACTTTCGATTCACTCATGGGATCGGGCGGTTCGGGGGAGGGACCACCACGACTCCTCTCTTCTCGAGAATCCATACATCCTTTATCAGTGTATTTACAATTATCTCTCCCTTTGGCAAGCTGCTGCCAAACAAAGGCTAAGAGAAAAAAGAACAGAGGCATGACTGACATAAATCTACGATTGGATTCAAAAAAGCATAGGCCTCGGGCAATTTGCCGAAGAAAAAACTACTCGAAAAAAAGGTTCGAATTAAGACAGATACCGATCAAACTAAAGATATTAAGCATAACACACTTTTTATTCTTGGAGATGATTGCATTTTGCGACGTTCCCAAAATGGAGATTATTGGGTAAATTCAATATAATAGACGCATGTTAGCATTCCAGCATTCCACCATTCCGTTGGAATAAGTTGATAGGACCCCCTTTTTTACGTCTCCATGTTCCTACTATGTGGCAACATGGGGGCGAAAAAAGGAAAGAGAAGGATGGGGTTTCTCTCGCTTTTGGCATAGCGAGCCCCCTGTGGGAGGCCCGCTAGGGTGTTTCGTTGTGGAAATAAACAACTTGGGTGTGCATGTCCAGTCTAGTCTACCTTTCGATCCACGAGGATCAGGATCAAATGAATGCGCATTCTCTTTCTGGCAAGCGAAGATATACTTCTAACCTCTCAATAACCAACGATCACGCGAGGTAGAAATTATTTAGTTCGGATTTTTCTGGTAAAAAAGAAGATAGGATTCCTGATTATTCAGACCTTAATCGAATTTCTTGGGAATCCTACAAGATCCGTTCGTTCTTTTTTCTTTGATAGATGGTCAGAACTTCATCTGGGTTCGAATCCTACTAAGAGGTCCACTAGGGATCATAAATTGTTGAAGAAACAATAAGATCTTTCTTTTGTCCCTTCCAGGCGATCGAAAAATAAAGAAATGGTTAATATATTCAAGATAATTACGTATTTACAAAATGCAATGACACGAAATGCAAGTCATGGTGGAAAAATATGGGTATGTATATTTCCAGACAAACCAGCTACACTAAGACCCGCAGAAACACCCCAAAGCAGATTTTGTTCTCTCTGCTCCTCTTGATTCTGTTGTTCTAGACAAAAGATGAAAGAAAGACAGGATTAACCGAGGCTGTTCAAACAGGCATAGGCGTCTTTCCTCCTCGTCTAGTAAAGAAAGGGCATCCTCAGACCAATAGAGCCTAGACAGAGAGAGGACATTCCCTATGCTGCGGTTCGAAAAGGTATCCCAAAGCAGGTGTATCCTTCTTTTTATCATTTTCCAAAAAGTTGATAAACTTGGAGGGTATGTAAAAGATATTCTTTGTTAACCATTGGTCATTAAGACGTATTCTCAAAATCCTTATATCTACAGCTATGGCAATAGGGGAGTGATTTGATAATATGCTAATTTGACCGCTTATGGACCGATCATTTTGAACGCAATATCAATAGGTTGATTATTTCGCTCTTGTATCTTCCCAAAGGAAAAAAATCTCTAAGGGTTATTTCCTAAATCCGAAAGAGTCGATACAATTCAACATAATCTAAGAAATGATCAAATTTGAAAATCAGATCTATAAAAATTCAAGTTTCATTTTTGAATGAAGTTAGACGATACAGCTCTTATTAGTTTAATAGTTTACTCAAGAGTTACTCAATGAATCAGTTAATTGGAATTGCGGGATGGATAGATGTTACAGATAATGGCTCTAAGAAATACTTGTATAAAATGAATTGGAAAAAAATACAAAAAGAAATGGTAATGAGAGCATTTGTCCTATATGTACAAATCCAAATCGGGCGGATCTTTACCCGGAGTAGAGAATAAACCTAAAAAGATGAAACAAACCCATTCAGGAAAAAAAACCCTTTTTGTAAATTCTTTTGAACCTTACCTTTTCTTATTATTCCACCTACATAAATCTAAATGGACAAATTGATTAGGCCAAATAATTTCATATGTATAGAAATATCATTATTTGAATGATCTAAGTTCGTGCAATTTATTAATAAAAATGATCAATTTATTTATTAATTACTAATATTTTGGTCAATCGTTGAATAAAATCAACTGAAAGAGCCTTGAATACTAGAATAAAAACACCTAGACCTAACAAGATTAAGTGATACCTAAAATTGTGGTCATTTTATTTGATCTTTCCAGACATAACCAGAGAAGGAAAAAGATTCTTCAAGTGTCTCAGGTCCCAAAAGTGCATGATAAATGTCGTCGAAGCCCAATACTGCAGAAAAAATTAAATAAAGTACTCCAGATACAAAGTATAGAAAGGTGTCTATAACTTCTCCCCCAAGTTATGGAAGAAGGAACCGAGAAGAAGGTATCAGCAATAACTGATTTTATTACGGGATTGGCCATTTTATTTCGATCTTTCCAGACATAACCAAAGAAGGGAAAAGATTCTTCAAGTGTCTCAGGTCCCAGAAGTGCATGATAAATGCCGCCAAAGCCCAATACTGCATAAGAAATTAAATGAAGTACTCCAGATACAAAGTATGGAAAGGTGTCTATAACTTCTCCCCCAGTGCCTACCCCCAACCTAGAGTAGCTAGGTGGGAATCTTCTATAAAGAATCTTCCTTTTATCTCCACAGAAGGCCTGATTT